ATACAAATTTCATCTCATTACAGGTCTATTATAATACAGCCTAACCAACAGATCCTTCAAGCTTCAAACTCATGAGCTGGTTTACTTCAGCTCCAAATTCATCCGGCAATTCATTGAACACATCCTGACAAAACCCAGAAATCATGGCTGCCATAGCTTTCTCATAGTCAACACCTCTCTGCTGGAAGTAGAATAACTGGTCTTCACCAATTTTGGAGGTCGTGGCTTCATGTTCAATACGGGCAGTTGGATTCTTCGTCTGTTCAGAGAATAAAGTTCACAGCAACCAGAAGTTTGCAATATGATTTTTTTTTTTTTTTTACAATATGGGCATGTATATTGTCCAAAATTAAACAGCATATGATGTTATTAAAGAAGAAAAAGAAGTTCAAATTTCAGAAACTATATTGTCCACTTCTATCTAATACTACGTAATCAAAAACACGTACCAATAAGGCAATATATATAAGAACATCATATAAGAGTCCTATGCCTTTTATTCCTCTGTCATTAAAAATTGTACACAGAACCAAATTTTAAATGCATACCAAAACAATGTCAATTACGATACATCATCAAGTACTAATGAGGATAAAACATCCTAATTAAGTGATGCGAGTTGATCAATCAAAAGCCAGTATTCCTTTTCTTATCTAGAAAAGTATCGAGGATAATACAATAACTATCTTCAATTATAAAGCATGTGATCATGGGAATGCCCGATTCGAATTAAAATTTCGAAATTAGCTCAGTCATATAATCAAGAAAGATAACAATAAAAAATAAATAAAGATTCAATATTAACACACAGCAAAGTGTGTATCAAGTTCAAATAAAATACCTGAATGTATGGATAAGTGTTAGCAGCAGCATTGTCGCCAATAAGCATTGAATCACACTGGGAAGAATTTCGAGCATCTTCCGCATTTGACAGAACCTGGACAAGACCTCTATAACAATTTCTAGAATGTCCAGCTGATATACCTTTCGATATTATCCTACTTCTAGTATTCTTCCCCTTGTGTATCATCTTTGTTCCAGTGTCAGCCTGCTGATAATTATTGGTCAATGCAACAGAATAAAACTCACCAACTGATTCATCACCCTCTAATATAACACTTGGGTATTTCCAAGTGATGGCTGATCCCGTCTCCACTTGTGTCCATGAGATTTTCGATCTAGGCCCAGCACATAGCCCCCTCTTTGTAACAAAATTATAGATACCACCTTTCCCTTCCTCATCACCTGCGTACCAATTCTGAACTGTCGAATACTTGATCTCGGCACCCTCATGGCAATACAACTCCACCACTGCAGCATGCAATTGATTCGTATCATAAGAAGGTGCAGTACACCCCTCCAAATACTCCACGAAACTCCCTTCATCTGCAACAATCAATGTCCTCTCAAACTGCCCTGTCTCCATGGCATTTATCCTAAAATAGGTCGATATTTGCATAGGACACTTTGTATTTTTGGGTATATACACAAACGATCCATCGCTAAACACAGCTGAATTCAAAGAGGCATAAAAATTATCCTCAGGGGGTACGACCTTACCCAAATACTTCCTAACTAACTCTGGATGTTCTCTAATAGCCTCGGATATTGAGCAAAAAATCACACCGGCTTTCTCCAATGTCTTCCTATGAGTAGTAGCAATTGAAACGCTATCAAGAACAGCATCAACCGCAACATTAGCGAGTCTATTCCTTTCATTCAAAGGCACCCCAAGCTTATCAAAATACTTAACCAGCTCAGGGTCAGCTTCATCAAGACTATTCAAAGTAGGCTTCTTTTTGGGCTCTGAATAATAACAGAGATCCTGAAAATCAATTTCTGGGTACCGATTATCAGACCATTTAGGCTCTTTCATATTAAGAAATTTCTCATAAGCCTTCAATCTAATCTCAAGCATCCAATCAGGCTCATTCTTTCTAGAAGAAATTAACCGAACTGTTTCCTCAGACAAACCCTTAGGAATGGTAAATGATTCAATTTCTTCGTTAAAACCCCACTTATAATCTCTTTTCAAGAACTTATGAAGTGGGTCATCATCATCTGAGGAAGAGAACGATGATTTCTTACCTGACGACTCGATTGTAATATTGGATTCATAGCTGACGTCAGCCCTTATCTTCAAGAAAGTTCTTGAACTCGGGTTTCCGGGGCTTGAAGATTTGGGCAATTGGGGAAACAAAGACCCTTTTGCGGATTCTGAAATAGGTTTTGCACATAAAGGTGAAATTCCTCCGGCGAGAAGAGAAGCCATACGTACACAATGGCAAATGCGGTTGTAGAGAAGGAGATTTCAAGAAGAATGGATACAACCAGCAATTTATAGATGATCAAGAAATGTCGCATGCGGACCACGTGCCCTACGAATGGGAACAAAGATGGGAAATTTTACTTGCATTTCTCCTCCTACGATCAAAATAATACTTTCGGTTCAATTTTTTCTCTTGAGAGTGTAATAATTTTTGTTTTATATTAATAAGTTTTTAGGGCTAACAAAATTTTACAATTTAAAAATGATGGCATACTTGGGAAAAAAAATCAGCATAGTTGCTTGATCACTAAGTTGAGCCAAGCATAGGACGACTCACTTGATGAAAATACAGTTTAACTCATCAATCAGCTCACCCTTTAAAAAAATCAAAATTTTTTTTTTGCTTCTCAACTCTAGGATGAGATAGTTTGTGAACCCAAGTCGGCTTATCTGTAAGTTGCCTTATCCAACTTTAAAATCCCTACTCGAAATTGAGTTATGGAAAAAGAAGCAATATAAGGAAAGTGAACAAAGGGAATCAACCTCCGAAAATTTTGACATTGGGATATGGAATAGTAAATTGAACTGATTTTTTTAATCAACCCTTCTATAGAAACAGGGCCAAATGACGGATCCTGTTGAGGTAATGATGAAGTCAGCTACAATTTTAATGCTTGAATTCGTGCTTTCAAATTAATAACTAGTTTCACTATCGATATCAACTTAAAATTTTAGTTAGATAAGCAATCTATTAATATGACACTAATGATTCAATGAGTATCGTAGCTTAACTTATATTAAATATCAGTGATATGACATATCAATTAATTGATGAAATATCTTATATTAAGTATCGACGACATGGTACCCCAATTAATTGGTATTCTAAGTAACTGTGCTCATTGGATCTCTTCTCATTAGCAAGATATCAAGTAGTAGATTTTGAGGTCATATTTGGTAACAACAAATTTGTTAGTTAGCATCTCTAGTACTAGCGGTAAAATATTTCACTAGTAAACGTGTAAATATGGAACAACCAAAAATGTTAATGATCAAGTTAAATATATAATAAAAAAATGGGCAAAAAGACGTGCTTGAACCTATGAAAAGACTTCCCCCTAATACTCAACAAAAAACATTCCTAAAGACCCCATGTCAATATGCAACATCTAAGGTCTATCTTTGTTACCGCAACCAGTTCGACCACTGCACAATAGATGAATATTTTGTTAATTTATAAATCCAAGTATCCAGAAGAAATTGTACATAAATTATCTAGATGGCCAAATGCGTTTGTTACAAAAATATTGTGGGTGAGCTAATGGGGGGTAGTTTCCAGATTCCTCATAGCCTGCATAGTACAACTTTGGATCCTGCGCCATTGGAGCATATCCATAATATCCACCATTATACTGGTTTTGATCAACCTGAAGCAAAAGTTCGATAGATGAAATGACCAAAAACCCTGGAACCACACTAAAGTCAATAGGTTGATTGACTATGGCCCCATGCTTTGTCCTCCCAACTGTAGAGCTTCCTTCGCACAGATTCTGTTATAACCAGTGGAAACGGAGCATAAGAAAGTCGATATACTCAATTTCTTGCATTTAAAATGAGGGTAGAAACAGCCATTAGTATTCTCAGTTTACCTGTCAGCATATTGAACAAACTCGCATCGTTTGCCTATTGGTATCTCTATATGAAGTAGCTGTTCATAGTGTCGAAAAACCTCTCTAAAATGTTCTTCAGTAATATTAGAATTCAAGTTCCCAACGAAGATCTGCTATCAAACGAACTTAAGTTGGTAAGTGTTTATTACCCAAAACAATTGGCATAAGGAGATCAATGATGAATATACTGACAGTTGTGTTAGTTTAATTTTTATGATTGTCGAAAATCGGGTTTTGAGATGTGTGTACCATGTGTTGAAAGCGGAACCTAAGGGGATCTTGTGGATGATGAAAGAGTTTTTAGAGGCACTGATGGTGGTTCGAGCGTGACACGACCAATCCAACAAATCGAGGAATGTAGATTATCGAATATACCCTAGTCATGAGTTCTTTCTCTATCTGAGTCGAGCTTGAGTAGATGTGAAAATTTGATTGGATCAAATAACAACATTGACAGTAGATGATTTGTGCTGAATTGGTACATAGTCGTGCCCACAGCATAGGGGGTACAAAAAGGTAAAACAAACAAGTTAAGAGCATTTTCGTAAAGATTAATGTCATTCCAGCATTGCTTGTACCAATTGATATGTAACTTTGTTCCGAATAAACGCTATTCATCGTCATTGTTCACATGGATGAGCAAACATTATTGATGACGATATGTAGCAATTTATGGCTAAGCACTTGAAGATTCTTTTTCCACGATCAAATCACTTTTTATTTACGTATTTCATGAAACACATGAATATTACTTATTTATCTATAATTTATTGTTACATATTTATTATTAAAATCGATTATAAATAATTCCAAATATATCACCAAGATGTCAACATGATCGATACAATCTTTTTAGTACTTATTATTTATTTATTTTTAATTACTTAGGTTAACAAATTGATTACGATTATGCTACATAATCAAACCTCGTTTTATCATACGTCGGACACGCTCTCATCGCTTCCACTCAAAAGCATATAATTGGCTAGTAATCGTCACAAAAATAAACGATTGGTTCGTGCATTACACGCTTTGATAACGTTCGCAGAATATATTCTAACCAATCACCTTATAAATACTGTATTAAAGAACTAACAAGAAACTTGGCTACAATTCCAAAGCGAAAATGAAGATGAGTCTTTTCTGTTGGTGGGACTGAAAGGGTTTTTGAGTTGTGTGGAATTATCAATTGTTTATCACTTTTTTGGGATTTTTGGTTTGCCAATTTGGGGTTAGATTTGATCGATTGGTTTTCGGAAATATAGAGAGGAAAAAGGATGGCGCAAGCAGTGGAAGAATGGTATAAGCAGATGCCGATCATCACCCGAACGTACCTTACCGCTGCCATCGTTACAACCATCGGTTGCTCCCTCGACGTAAAGCATTCCTCTCTTTACACACGAGTATACGTATATAATATGTGTTAGGTGTATCTATGTAGTTGGAATTATGTTGCAAGTTCCTATTTGAGGATGAAAAGATTGGTCTGTATATATATCTTAATAAAATGGGTTTGATTAATTTCTGAAAGACTTGTTTTTCGGTTTATTATTATTCCGGGTTAGAAAATGTAGCTTTTTTTTCTCGTACTTCTAATTTTTATTTTTTCTTTTATGGTTTTTTTTTATTTTTTATTTTTTGGAAGATTAATGGAAAATTGCTGGTCTTTTTTAGATTTTCATTGTTTTGATGTTATTGCAGATAATATCACCATATGACTTGTACTTGAATCCGGTTCTCGTAGTAAAGCATTACCAAGTCTGGCGGATCGTTACAAATTTCTTGTATTTTCGCAAAATGGGTAATGAGCATATTCGTAGTTTGCACAAATTTATATGCATTGCAGTGAACTACGAATTTTTTCTATGATAGTCAGTTCAGGAGTTTATTAATTTCCTTTCATTCTAAACAGAAACGAAGAATGTCAATAAATCTGATTAGTGTTTGTTGCTTTTAGGAGTTCAGAATCATTTTTGATCTGTTGCCTGAGTTGGTTTCGCTACATTTAATTCATATAGATTGAACAACATTTCGTTGGTTCAGCTGCAACTTTTAAACTTCTTCAGCCGCAAGAGGTTTTTCGCTACTAATCTCCTTAGGTTTCACTGTCTTTCCACTTGACACTGAATATATTATTTCAAATGGAAAGAGGGATAATCATAGGTGTAGATTATATAGGCAAATTTAGAAAAAACTGGAATTGCTTTTTGCTGTTATTCGTGTGTTTGCGTACCTGAATGCACGAATGAGGTAATTCCTCTTAATGAGGAAAATAGTTTCTAATAGGATGATACTGGGAAGTTATTCACTTCTATCCTGATGATAAGTATTCTTATATTTTGCAGACCTGGACTTTTTGTTTCACATGTTCTTCCTTGCTCGATACTGCAAGCTTCTTGAAGAGAACTCCTTCCGGGGAAGGACTGCAGATTTTTTCTACATGATCTTATTTGGTGCCTCTGTTTTGACTGGCACTGTTCTTATCGGGGGAATGATTCCTTACATCTCAGAGTCATTCGCTAGGATTATATTCCTTAGCAATTCGCTCACATTTATGATGGTTAGTTTGCCTGAAAGAGTAGAACTCGTAATTAACTAATTTACCTGAAGAATGTCAAGCTCCTATTTTTCTCCTCATTGTAGGTTTATGTTTGGAGCAAGCAGAACCCATACATCCATATGAGCTTTTTGGGCCTATTCACTTTCACAGCTGGGTATCTTCCATGGGTTAGTGATTTCTCTTTCATCAGCCAGTGTTCAGATTCTGCTGTATTCTATTCTCTCCTTTTCAAAACTTTTAAAATTCATGTTCATAATTTTTGCTCATTAAATATAATAACTCTGGTACCACTGCATATCATTGCTTTCTGTTAATTGATTTAACCACTTGTATTATTTTCGGCCGCATCTGACGCTCTAATATCCCTCTCTGCTCAATTTTATGATCATTAAAAGATAGCGGGAAAGGTTTATTATGGGGGCATTACCCCCACCCCCCCAACAAAAAAAAACCCCAAAACACCACACTTCCCCCCAACCAATGAACACTTGTGGCATAATGCTGAAAGCAAAAAATGAAATCTGAGAAGTAAATATGCACTATTTCTTTGGTATAGTTGCCCGCATACGTTCTTTTACACATTCTGATGGTTGCTCTTGACCTTGGATTTATCCTTTCTCTGCAGGTTCTTCTTGGTTTCTCTGTCCTTGTTGGTGCTAGTCCTTGGGTGGACTTGTTGGTATGTCCATACATATTCTATTATGATTTTTGTGTACAGATTGTATCATCTTGACCGTTTGAGCGAGGGTTTTATTCTCGTGTGAGATATACATAGCCCAGAAGATTCAAAGGTTTTAGGAAAATAAAACAAACACTTCAAAATGAAGAAATTGAAGATATTATTCATAATAAACTTCTGAAATTACAAGATTGAAAATTGAAAGTTCAAAAATTGTAAAATACAAAGTTTATAAACTTCTTGATGACTATTTTTCTTCTTAGAAAAAATACTCTGCTCGATCTTGAACTGTTCATCTCCTTTTATACTTGAACCTTTTGAGCTCTAATATTTTAATTTGGAGATGAATCTTGAATAATGCAAAATATTATTGCTTTTACTATTTTATTTTTGAAAATCTTTGTCAACTTTGTGAAAATTTGGTACCTTCTTTTGTCTTCTTCATCTTTGTGAATTTTGCAATTGTCCTTTTGAGAATCAAATGACAACTTTTGAATTTTTTCCCACTTTTTGAATTATTAGTCCAACTTTATCTTTTAAATGTCGGTAAAGCTGGTAAAAATAATTCATTAAGTGGCAAATACATTTTGAAAAGAATGTCTTTTGATCTTTGAGCCCTGTATGAGGATAATTCATCCAAGTAGTTGGGTTCATGTAGTCATTTTTGATCTTCTTGAGCTATGAGGCTATCGATATCAATCCTATAGCAATCATCACTATTGTTAGTACTTTGAGAGTAGTTTGAATTTGAGCCTGATTGAGCCTTTTTTGAAGAAATTTCAGCAAGATTGGCAATCTTCTCTGAAATTACCGTTAATTCTTCTGGAGTTTAACATTGAGAAAAAATAGCTAATAATATTGATTTTTCAGTTAAGAAATCAGTTTTTCTTGATTTTTCATTGAGATTTTTGGAATTCCCAAATTTCTTTGTTCTTTAATTGACGAGTTTATTGCTTTGTGACAACGATTAGTTTCATGAAATTTTGATCACCATTTTATTTTGAATCTTCTTACAATCTTTTTGACAATATATTATTATTCAGCTTGAGCAACAATTGAATCCCAACAAAATATTCAGGATACTTTGAGATTCATTGCAAATTGAAACAAAAGATTTTCTTGAGGTTGTAAAAATATTTTTGCCTCTTTTTTTAAGTGTTCATATCCTTGATGAGTAAGAGTGTACAAAATATTCTCGTCAAAGACCAAAATAAATAAACCAAGTTTGAAACCATTTTGGAAAATTAGGATGATAGGATTGATGGAACAATTTAAATAAGTAATGAGTCACTATTCGAAGAAAAAATATATTGAACTAAACAAGTCTTACAATCAAGATAATTGAAACGTTCAAATTTACCATTTGACAAGTTCATATGTTTTTCTTCTCAAGGTTTTTGTCCCTAGTCTTCATAAGACCAAACCTTTTGAATAGAAATTTTTGAAAAATCTGAATTTTGAGAGTTTGGAGTGTGAGTGATAATGGCTGATTTTGTTTTTGTAAGGATAGCCTCATAAAACTCACGACTCTTTTTGATGTTGTTTGGAAGGTAATAAAAATTTGGAGGAAAAATATATGTGAGAAATTGTTAAGGGAAGAATATCTTTGATTCCAGGAACTTTCCATTTCAAGGACCTGATATTGAACATTTTTGGTAAAATATTGAAAAGTTTTTGGAGGGTTAATTTTTGAAAGTTTTTTTGATCATGTTTGAACGGTTTTTTTGAAATTGGTTGTTTTTGGATCATTGGGGTTACTTTGATTTGGATTAAAATTCAATTTTGAAGCAAGGGTTGTATTTTGAGAAGAGGAAGATATGTGAGAATTTGAAATATAATCATCAATTGAAAAAAGAGGAATATTTGCCTTCTTATTTTTTCTCCTAGCTTTTGAAAATTCCATTATTCTTTTTCTTTCAAGACTGTATAACTCTTTTGTAAGAAAGCCTGCAAGATAGTTTGATTTTCTTTGTATATATAATATTTCGAAATTGAAACATGACAAACTAGCTTGTCATTTAGCAAAAATTTGTTTTGAAACAAGATTTGTCTTTTTGCAAAACTTCTTTAGATACTTTGCAATCAGTTTTTAAAATGAATTCTTTATTAATTAAATTATCTTGAAATTTTGAAATACACAGTACAGTAGATAAATTTTTTTTTTCATAGTTGAATAGTTTTTTTGGGGGCCGGTTCATACACCACTATGAAACCTAACCAACTGTTCTTAATTGGATTCTTTTGAAATCTGTTTTAACACTCCACCAAAGCCTAAATCAAAGGCATCAGTTTCATAAAGAATGGAGGCAGTAGGATCAAAAATTGATAAGACATGGAATATTTTTGACAGTATGCTCATGACTCAATGGGTCTGGGTTCTTTTGTAATCTTTTGAAAAGAGGGACACAAATCAATCAACTTTATCTCTTTGATAAAGTTTCCAATATAATTAATACAATCAAGAAATCTTTGAAAAAAAGATTTGTCTAAAATTTTATTAGGAATTTTTTCAGTAAAATCAAGACTTCTCTGAATTGAAATAATTCTGCCTAATTGAATATGTTAATGTGCCTAATTGAATATTGTGACCTAAAAATCTAGACTTCTTTGAATTGGAATAATTGTACCTAATTGAATATTTTCCAAGGGGCTGTCTGGTAGAAATTATTGGCTGATTTTGAGCAAATTTTTGACCGTTATCCGTCAGCACATGGGTCCCATGTTGCAGCAATGTTTGAAAATCAAAAAGTGAAATACCTAAGTTGCCCATCAATTATAAGAAATGAATTAACTGTTAAGGGCAACATGGTCATTCTACAATAAATTGGTCCAACGTTGCGGCTTTGATATCTGATTTCCTACCATAAATGACTTGTCTCCATGAAAAGCAATGGTAAAAATTTCACTGGAAATTTGAGTAAAATCTCCTCTAGACAAGCGTCAATTCAAGGAAGTCTAGATTTTATTGAAAAATTTCCCGATGAAATCTTAGACAAATTTTTTCTTCAAAATTTCCTTAGTTGTGTCAATTATGTCGGAGACTTTATCAAAGAGATGATGTTGATTTGTGCCACTCTTTTCAAAAGATTACAAAAGAACCCATGGAGTCTCGAGCATACTATTGCTTTCCAAAAAGTCAAAAAGGCTGTCAAAAATATTCCATGTCTCAATTCTTGATCACACTGTCTCCATTATTATCGAAACTGATGCCTATGATTTAGGCTTCGGTGAAGTGTTAAAGCAGATTTCAAATGAATCAAATCAAGAACAGTGGATTAGGTTTCATAGTGGTGTATGGACCGATTTCCAAAAGAATTATTTAACTATGAAAAAGGAAATTTTTTCTATTGTACTGTGTATTTCAAAATTTCAAGACGATTTAATTAATAAATAATTCATTTATAAACTAATTGCAAAGCATTTAAAGAAGTTTTGCAAAAAAACGTTAAAGATTTTGTTTCAAAACAAGTTTGCTAGATGACAAGCTATTTTGTCATGTTTCGATTTCAAAATATTATATGTACAAGGAAAATCAAACTATCTTGTAGACTTTCTTACAAGAGAGTTTATACAGTCTTGAGAGAAAAAAAGAAATAGAATTTTCAAAAATTAAGAAAAAATATAAGAAGGCAAATATTCTTCTTTTTTCAATTGATGATTATATATCAATTCTCATGGATTTTCATCTTCTCAAAATACAATCCTTGCTTCAAAATTGAATTATAATTCAAATCAAAGTAAGCCCAGTGAGTAAAAAACAACTAATTTCAAAAAAGACGATCAAACAGGATCTTGAAAACTTCCAGAAATTAACCCTCCAAAAACTTCTCGATAACTAAAAATGTTCAATATTAAGGAAAGTTCCTGGAATCAAAGATATTCTTCCCTTGAAGAATTTCTCACATATTTTTCTTCAAAATTTTTTACATTCCAAACAATATCAGCCATTATACTCTCAAAATCCAGATTTTTCAAAAATTCCTATTTAAAGGGTTTGGTCTTATGAAGGTTGGGGGCAAAAAACTTGGGAAGAAAAACGTATGAATTTATCAAATGGTAAATTTGAGTGTTTCAGTTATCTTGATTATAGGACTTGCTTGGTTCAATGTATTTTATTTTCGACCAGTGACTCATTCCTAGTTTATATTGTTCCATCAATCTTGTAATTCTAATTTTCCAAAATTGTTTCAAACTTGATTCATTTATTTTGGTCTTTGACGAGAATATTTTGCATACTCTTAGTACTCAAGGATATGAACACTTCAAAAAAAGGCAAAAACTTTTTTACAGTTTCAAGAAAATCTTTTGTTTCAATTTGCAACGAATCTCAAAGTATCTTGGATATTTTGTTGGGATTCGATTGTTGCTCAAGCTGAATAAGAATATATTGTCAAAAAGATTGCTAAAAGATTCAAAATAAAATGGTTGTCAAAATTCAATGAAACAAATTGTTGTGAAAAATAGTAAACTTGTCGATTCAAGAACAAAGAAATTTGAGAATTCTAAAAATCTCAAAGAAAAGCAAGCTGATTTCTTAACTGAAAAATCAAGATTATCAGCTATGCTTTCTCAATGTAAAATTTCAGAAGAATTAACGGTAGTTTCAGAGAAGTTTGCCAAATTTGCTGAAATTTTTTCAAAAAAGATTCAATCAGAGCTTAAATTCAAAGTACTGATAATAGTTATGATTGCTATGAGATTGATATTGATAGCCTCATAGTCCAAGAAGATAAAAAATACTATATGAACCCAGCTACTTGGATAAATAATTCTCATACAGGGTTTAAAGATCAAAAGACATTTTTTTCAAAATGTGTTTGTCACATAATAAATTATTTTTACCAACTTTACCAACATTTAAAAGATAAAGTTGGACTAATAATTCAAAAGGTGGAAATTTTTTTCACAAAGTTGTCATTTGATTCTCAAAAGGACGATTGCAAATTTCACAAAGATGATAAAGACAAAAGAAGGTGCCAGATTTTCAAAAAGAAAATAGCAAAAGCAATAATATTTTGCTTTATTCAAGATTCCTCCTCTAAATTAGAAGATCAGAGTTCAAAAGGTTCAAGTATGAAAGGAGATGAAGAGTTCAAGATCGAGCAGAGTGTTTTTCTAAGAAAAATAGTCATCAAGAAATTTTTAAACATTATATTTTACAGTTTTTGAACTTTCAATTTTCGATCTTGTAATTTCAAAAGTTTATTTTCAATTTCTTCATTTAGAAGTGGTTGTTTTATTTTCCTAATACCTCTGAATCTCCTAGGCCTATTTTGGTATGGAGCTATAATATGTTTTGCATATTAATATCTTCGACTGGAGGATTTGAATTTGAAGGAAGAAGAGAACTAAATTTCTTTTTTAAATTTGGATCATCAATTTGACCAATAATTTCTTTAATAATCTCTTCTTCATTAGATTAAAAATTTATAGTTTTACAACCACAAAATTCTTTATCATTATTTGAAGATTGGATTGAAGTTTCTGTTTCAGAATCTTCTTGTTCTTGAAATACTTGTTCTAATTTTGAGTTAGACTCATTATCAGAACTGCTAGAATTAATAAGATTGAGAAGTTCAAGTTAAATTTCATTAAGTGTGGGCTCTGCATGTTTTAGCTGTAGGTGAAGGGCCTAAATTAGCTTATTCAAAGAACTTTTATTCCACCATATACATCATCTAGGTTTAGTTACTTTTTATCACTGCCTTCTATCATCTGGGTCGGGTAACTCAATGCTTTTCAGCCATATGGTGGTTTTATTCTCTTGTTCTCGAAGTGTCATGACAGTGATAATTTTTCCCAAGTCATTGACGTTCAATTTCATGGAGCAAATTCAAGGCAGTTATAGGAATTCTGATCTGTTTAACATTTCCTTTTCCAGGGCTAAGTACTTTTAATATGGTACATACTTCACAACTCATCGTGCATTTCTTACATTTACATGAAAAAAATAAAATTATTTCCATTGTTCTTATAGGCATCTTTAAAAGGGCTATGCTCTTTATCACCTCCATACCATTACTGTTGTGCTTGTTATCAAGGTTGCGTCAATGGATTAATCTTTGTGATTTTGAGGCAATTCCTTGAGTCCTAGCTTAGTTAACTCTTCAAGTTAGCAATTGATGGGCAATTTATTTATTTATTTTTTTGTATGCATGTGACCACCCTCATCTTTAGCCTCTCATGTTTCTAAATTCAGGTTACTGGTTTTTAACTTACAAAGAAAGATTTGTAACTTTGGTTCAGGGAATGATAGCTGGCCATGCCTACTATTTTCTTGAAGATGTATATCCACGAATGACAGGTCGACGTCCCCTGAGTACTCCGGCTTTTATTAAATCATTGTTTGCAGAAGAGCCTGTTGTAGCAGCTCGGCCTGCAGAGCTGAGATTTGCTCCTCCACCAGTCGATAATGTTCAACAGAATTGACCAGGTTTCTGGGGTAATGGACGATGGCCTATGTTTTAATCTGCATCAAAATTCGTAGGTCCATCAGGTGTTTATATGACAATACATTGAACGAGTTATCATCATCCAATCTCAATCTTCATCAACTCAACAAGTTTAGGCAGCAACTGTAAGAAGAAGATGCAACTTGTAATCTAAACTTACGCGGGATACTCAGTTTTTGGTATAGGAAATATTTGTGCTTTTGTTTTTAGTGAAACTTTTACTGGATGGATAGATTGAAATGCCTTTTTCACACGTCTGAGTTGAAATTTATATGTTCATATAGTTTTCCTGTTGAATTGATCATCGTCTTATGGCTTTTGGCGGGTAAAATTTCATTCATCTACTATCGAGTATGGTGTAGTAAAAATACTAAGACTCCGTTTGACTGTACCAAGTTTTCCATGGAAAATCCATCTTTTTGGCTGTTTGACAGACTTTTTTTTCCAGAAATTAGTTTTCTTGTTTTTTTTTGGGAACTAGCAATTTTCTATGTTTTCATGGAATTCGAATTCTCACCACATTACTGTAGCGAACTTTTTTTTTGGTTGCAATAGAAACAAATTTTAGGAATTATTGTAGAAAAATATTTCTCTTTAATTGACAATTTTCACGTAAAACAAAGTCAAACAAACATCAAAAGAGAAGTGATTTTTTTTTTTTTTTTTCAAAGGAAAAAAATTTCATCCCCAATACCAGTAAAATCTATTTCTTTAATTGATAATTTTTAATATAAAAAAAATCGTAGCGAACTTTTTTTTTGGTTGCAATAGAAACAAATTTTAGGAATTATTGTAGAAAAATATTTCTCTTTAATTGACAATTTTCACGTAAAACAAAGTCAAACAAACATCAAAAGAGAAGTGATTTTTTTTTTTTTTTTTACAATGGAAATAAATTTCATCCCCAATACCAGTAAAATCTATTTCTTTAATTGATAATTTTCATATAAAATAAATTCAAACGAACAGCAAAAAATAATTTTATTTAACATTTTTCACATGAAAAATTATACCAATCAAACAAAATAATTTACAATTCTTTGGAAATTTCAATTCCCTAAAATTCGTTTTCAATTCATTTCAATTTCATCTTTGTAATCAAACATACCCTAACTCTTTTCTTTCGATCTTCGCCATGTGCCCTTTAAACACTTAAAAACACATGCTGCATCATAAGCAAAATTTCCCGGTAAAGTGTGGTGAACATGCAATAACGGTAAAAAATTCGGCTGAAAACGTGGATAGATAGGGTAGAAACTACTGATCTAGTGAAAGAATAAAGGTCAAAATTTTCAAAATAAAGAAAGTAAAGATCCTAATGTTCTAAACTAGGCATTGGGCGGTTGGTACAAAATTATTTCACTAATGCCCGCTAAATTTGCACATAAGTGTTACATTCGCAATAAAAATTAATTTATTCAGATTTGTCAATGAACTTTACCAAATGTTATATTCAAACTATTAATTCAGTTGTATGTCATTTTTAACAAGTTTTTTGGTGTGCGCGCCAACTCTTAGGATTTATCTAGAAATCATAATGGTTCGATAACTTGGCACGTGTCACATGTATGATTTTCAGTTAAAAAAGAACATCAAACTTTATAAGTGGTGGTCTGAATGAAACATTTGTAAAATTATGTGATTAAGTTTGAAATAAAAATTCAATGGCCAAGATGACATTAAGTGTAAAGTTCAATGGCCATTAAGAAAAGGGATAATTGTAATTGCATCCCCAAATTTTTCAAAATGTTGCAGTTTTCTCCTAACCTCTCATTTATTGCACCCGTAATCCCAAATCTTTCAAGTGCATACATCTAAAGTCCAAATGGATGGATATATGGATTATTTGTGTTAGTTGACCAAAAAATTGAATTTAATCACATTTTTAATATTTTTATTAGAATACGTGGCTACGAACCATGGTGTCCGGAGTTCGAATCTCCTCGCTAAAAATCAACCCAAAAAGGAAGTACTTAATTTCCACAAAAAAAAAAAATGCGAACCCCTTTGATATGATTTGAGGATACAAATTCTTGTTGCGCTGCAAAAATTGATTTTCGTTGAATCATTACGAGAAATAATAAAACGTAAAAGGCAAAATTTACCACATTAAACAATTAAAAATAAAAAACTAAAAAAAGAAATGAAATGAAAGAGAAATAAACTAATTTTATTAAAATTTGAATTTTAAAATTAGTTCTCTTAAAAAAAATTGTTATAAAATTAAACAAATTTTAAAACGAGCCCAACATGCAAATTGAGGCCTAACCGTGTTAGTCAGGATTCTTAAAATCTCACCGCCTTGTAAAGATTCACGTTAAACTCTTTGTCTATAAAAATCGTACCTCAATCACAATTCACAACCTTATTTTTGTTAACGCAAATCCCTTTTTCAAACAGCGACTACATAAAGTTTCCTTTCCGCCCAATTCTCCACCGCTAACGGTGATTCAAGACTCTAATATTGTTCATCGTCTCAAAAAACTTGAATCAAGAGCCGATTCCCTAATAATGAACGGCGGCGTTTCAAGATACGAGAACCCTACGCCTCTCAAGACTGGCGGTTTCACCAAGTCTGCAATGCCGAACGACGTCGCACCACATAAGCCGTCTCCCCCGTTAATTCTCGATCGTTTCAGGGGCATGTTGAAGGAGAGAGAGGTAGAACTTAGCTTTTTTAATAATGGGGGCCATGACTCTGATTCGAACATGGGTACCGATGAAATTGTGCGGCTTTACGAGATTGTTCTGTCGGAACTCACTTTGAATGCGAAGCCTATCATTACCGATCTGACGATGATTGCTGGAGAGCAGAGAGCGCATGGCAAGGGCATAGCTAATGCTATTTGCAATCGGATTATTGAGGTATAGCATCGAGGGTATTTTTGAAATTCTCGACAGGTTGTGTAGGTTTTGTAATTGTTGATTCCAATCGTCTCAGTTGTATTGGGAGGAGAAGTTCTGAAGTTCAATGTTCAAAGTGCATAAAGATTGAAACTCTACTCTCTTTCCCTTTCAAAAAATTTTTTTGTTATTTTTTTTTGGGAGTTTAATTATACCACGAGCGTGTTGATCTAACAGTCGAATGCAAAAGAAATATCACAACGCCTCAGTAGTATGGAATTGAGGAATTTGAATTCAAATTGGGAACTATCACAACGCCTCAGTAGCATGGAATTGGGGAATTTGAATTCAAATTGGGACTCTTTCCGGACAATCTATAATTGATTTTTAAAATTACCAATTTCAAGCTGCCAATGCAATCAAACTTGCTTAATTACATAAAATATTTTGGGGTTTGAGTCGCTAGAAGCTTCAGCATTCCCCCAAGATGTATGCATTATTCACTCTTGAATTACATAGTAAATCAAACAGCTACAGAAAATTCACGACAACTGCATTGTGTACATATGCTAATGTTGCCAAGATCGCGTATAAATATAATTATTCTTCTTGTTGAATTGAGAAAGACAAGTTTATTACAAGATTGCTGAGCTCTATGTGGTGGTATTATTTTTTAAATCCCTCAGAAGAGTTCCTGTAATCTTATCCTCCTGGCAACATTGGCCACCATTGAAAGTTTATGACAGAAATTATAACAAAAATCTATGTAATGTTCTATGGGTAGAGCTTTTATGCCACTAATATCAAGTAGATTGCTTAAAATGCATCTCAAGATCCATGTTCTTACAGTAATTCAAGTTCCGATATGCAAATTTTAGTTATTCAGGTTCTCAAAACTGAAGAGAGTGCAATCAAAATGCATCATTTACATTCAATGCCTCTGCCTACAGTGTTTCACAACTAATTCATTCTGATATATCAGGGTCCTGACCATTGAGCAACTGATGGTTGTGAATTGTTGGTCGATTGCTAATGTGATATTTAAGGCCGTAAATCTAAACCTAAGGCTGAGTTGTTGCTGAGCATATAAATGAGTTTGGGAATTATTAATAATTATTTATAAGTTTTTCCAGTTGCATGAATGGCCTGCGATCTGCATCGATATTATAGTTTTTATGTCTTGTTCTGTACTTTGTTGCATCAATGACCTGATGTTGTAACTGTGGATAAAAAGATCTATTTTACAAACTCTAGCCTTTGTTTAGTTTCCTTACCTTTTTGTAGATAAATAGCGGAGGTTGCTTCTTCATTTTACTCAAGTCTATGCGGATCTTTCAATATTGATAGTTAACAAGCATTCATATTTTTGTTAAAAAATTTCACCAGGACGTTTGTTGTATCTATAGCTGTGTCATAGCTCATACTTTCTCTTGCCAAATATTTAAGAGGGCATCTATTTTCCTTTGGATATTTTGTACTTCATTTCCTGATGTTTGTCTTTACCAGGTTCCAGTTAAGCAAAAATTACCTAAGTTGTATCTATTGGATAGTATAGTGAAGAACATAGGCAAGGATTATATTAGACACTTCTCTGCACGCTTGCCTGAGGTAAATAAGTTAACTTGGTTTAGTGCACACATTGTCATACGGTGTCATTAGCTTCTGTAATTTAACATCCTTTGATTTCTCATTTTCTTTTGATTGCCAAGGTTTTCTGTGAGGCCTACATGCAAGTCCATCATAGCATGCATCCTGATATGCGCCACCTTTTTGGTACCTGGTCGACAATTTTTCCATCACCTGTACTTCGCTTGATTGAGGCGCAGTTGCAATTTTCCCCCGATGTAAATAGTCAACCACCTGGTTTGGCTCCATTGAAAGCTTCTGAATCTCCATGCCCAACATATGGCATACACATAAATCCTGAATATTTGGAAGCACAGCATCAGTTTCGACATTCTACTGTAGACACGGTGAGCTTTTAGTACATCAATTTGTGAAATTGTACCTAGAGAGCCTATCAGGATATCTATAATATCCTGAAAATGTTCTATGCTGTTTATGATTTGGAATGGCTACAAGAGGCCAGTGCTTCCCCACTATTTTCATTTTTTTACTGAATCCTTCTTGGACTAGTATTTTTTGTTCGAGTATTATATGGTCTCTAAGTTTTCATATCTTATAGGTTTACAACTAGAATTAGGATTTCTTGTCCTAGGGATTGAAACTTTCCTAGTATACTAGGTTTAAACTTTACTAATTGTATTAGATTTTGGACTTTCTCTCTGTGTTTAGGATATCCTAGTTAGAATTTTTTTGGAGTCCCAATGTTCGAGAGGCCATATTATTCTCGCAAAAATATCAATTAAAGAAATTTATTTGTTTTAGTCTAGAAAATTTTGGTTTGTCTGAGATTTAAGTCTAAAAAACTCACTCTCTAGTATTTGCTTCGATCTCTGCAGATATCCCTTTGTTCTTTCAGTCTCTTCTATTATTTGTTGGTTTAAGCTTGTTCCTATTTGACCGTGCCTTCACTTGAAATTTTTGCTCACCCTCATGTGAAGGAGGTGCATTGCACCCGATGGGAATCTAATCAACCATTTCTTTTGTTGAGATTTTTACATCCGTGACCATCCCAAAATGCATAACCTGTAGAGGTATTTTAGTGTTGAATATAGCCTTCTTAGGAATCTATCACCGGCTATGATCATTTTGTCTTCTGAGTTCTGAGTTTGCTGTGTTATGCAATTTGCAGGTTGGAGCCAAAGGTTTAAGCACTTCTACTTGGACACTCACAGGCCACACAAGTTCATCATCACCCCCATCACTTCATAAATTTGGAGTGGATAGTTATCGAAGGGCTTCTGAAACGGCCTCACCATCTAATTCTAGATTTGAATATGATCTTAACAGAGTGAAGGGGCGAGAGGAAGAGACAAATAAATTGCAAGCAAGAAATTGGCATGGTGAAGCTGATCAACGTCTTAAAAATTCTGCTGCGGTTCTTAATAATGGAGTTGACCTTCAAGGACCTAGAGCTTTGATTGATGCTTATGGAATTGATCACAGGGACAAAAAATTGAACCTCAAACATCCAAAGGTCGAACAAATGGGTGTAAATGATTTTGACCAAAAGACTGCTTCCCGGACATGGCAAAATACTGAAGAGGAGGAATTTGATTGGGATGACATGAGCCCAAATTTAGCACACCAGGGCAAGTACAGTCTTGCTGCACAACGCTCTGCACCTTTGGTGACTGATTTCAGAAGCAACTCGTTTCAGGAGCAATTTTCTTCCACTACTGATTCTTCCATTGTTGAGGGTGTTCTCCCATTTAGTGTATGGTTACTTATCTTAATCACCCTATATTTCATTTGGTATTCAATTCAAATAATTTTGACGGCGAAGAGGCTTTGTGCTTGTTCTGTAAAGATTTAAGTACAATGTACTTGTTAACTACCCATTTGTCTCTTCTGTTACCATCATGGATTTGGAGAGTTCTATATTGCTTTATGAAGTTTTTATCTGATCAGAGCGTTCTCTTTACTCAGCTCGATGTGGACTCCCTCTTCTCTTTCCCACTATGTCACTATGCAAGTTATTTAGTATGTACAACATTCTTTTACAATTATTCATGTTCTTGGTTGATGCAATGGCCTCAACATGCATGTATACCCACCTACTCCCTCAACCTCTGCAGCCCTGACTTCTTGAGTGGATTCAGAAGCCCTGACACGTGTTCTGTGAAGTATTTTATTCTTTGCTGTGTTCTTTTGAAACATGAAGGTATGTTTTTTTAACTTTTGCTCCTTTATGCAGTCTGACCATGGAGGAATTAGTAGGATAACTGGTCCACACAGTGCCTCAAACCAGATAGCTGCTTCTAGTTATACCCGAGAATCATGGAGTTTACCACGTCAGCAGTTGCAACATCATTTGAATGCCAAAGAAGGTGGTTCTCATTCAGGAATTGGAGCCTTTTCCGCATCTGATGAGCAAAAGCCTCCTACAATTGGAAATTTCTCAAGTGTAGATGGACAGTTTTTCGGGTCCCATTCTAATGTTGACTCTTTAGCTCCTGAGATTCGATCAGCCAATGCACCAGCTTTAACAAAAGCATGGTATCATGCAAAGTTACACAATTCACACCCATCACCTTCCCTTTCTGCTCTTCCTCCGGAATTCCACATCAGGGGTCAATTTCCTATTATGAATGCCGGCAATGTCATTATCAACAAGTCAAATCAATTTGAGCAGCATTTGGACAATATTGGCATTTCAATAAGTAACATGCCTCGAGCTCCTACTCAGCTATTCCAACCAGTAGTTCATCCACAGCTACTACCACCTCGAAATCATGGATACGCACGACATGGTCCCCCTATTGGTACAGCCTTGTCTAATCTATTTACGATTGTGCAATCATCTGTGCCGATCCTCAATGCCCCAAACACATCATTACATTTACCAGGGACAACCATTCCGTCTTTACCCAGGGGACCACCACCTGGCACAACTCAATCAATACCCCCTGGAAATATAGATCAAGCGGCAACAAACCCTCCAGCACAGGGTGCACTTTCGGGTTTAATTAGTTCTCTTGTAGCACAAGGTTTGATATCATTAACAAAACAGGTATGCATTAATGTCCTCTATATTGGATTAGCTTGTTGATTTCAAATTTCTATCCGTAAAAGATTGTCACAGCCTTTTGATATAATGCGCAGGATTCTGTGGGAGTGGAGTTTGATCAAGACCTTCTTAGGTTGCGTCATGAGTCTGCAATAACTGCTCTATATGCTGATCTTCCTAGACAATGCAAAACATGTGGCCTTCGATTCAAAAGTCAAGAAGAGCATAGCAAACATATGGATTGGCATGTCAACAAGAACCGGACTTTAAAAACCCGTAAACTGAAGCCTTCTCCCAAGTGGTTTGTGAGCATAAGTATGTGGCTCAGTGGGGCTGAGGCAGTGGGAACTGAAGCAGTTTTAGGGTTTTTGCCCGCTGATATTGATGTGGAAAAGAAAGAAGATGAAGAAATGGCTGTTCCTGCTGATGATGATCAGAATGTTTGCGCATTGTGCGGAGAGCCTTTTGATGATTTTTACAGTGATGAGATGGACGAATGGATGTATAGGGGGGCCGTATACATGAATGCACATGCTGGATCACCCGCAGGGATGGACAAGTCACAGTTAGGTCCTATAGTACATGCTAAATGCAGGTCTGAGTCTCATGTGATTCCAGCTGAAAATTTTACAAAAGATGAAGTGGTAAGCGGACTTCCCTTTAAATCATTTTGTATGAGATCATTTCTTGCTTACATCAACATTGATAACGGTATCTGGTTTCTTTTCTTAAATATAAAAAAGTGCAGTGATGTATGAATAGATCTTGTTTGTCCTTGTATTTGGCTCTTTGGGTTACCAATATATGTTGGAAAAAAAATAATATAGGAGATTGGAGTTTAGGGTTATTAATATCTGCCCATATTCAGCCTGTGAAATTTCTGTTTGTAGGATAGAATTTTATTGCTATCCTCATTTTGATTGCAAGTTATGTAAACTGATTCGAGTTCATTTCAAGTAAAATATCCAATGCACTTTACCTTGAATAGTACACACGTACAAGAGGTAGCATAAATGGGGAAAAAATATCAGCTTACTGCAAAAATACTAGTTTCAATGCACACATCTTCAGCAGTTGCTTGCATCATCAAGAAGCTATTTAAGTTTGTGCATAAAGTCATGACGAATTATGATTGTGATGTATTTGCATGATGAACAATAGTGGCCACTGATAATTATGTTGTATATGTGACATCAAGGGTTTTGTTAACCTGATGTCCCTTTTCCAATTTTATCTGCAGGAATCAACTGAAGAGGGTCGTCAAAGGAAAAGGATGCGGTGTTAGAGTAGTTAAATGTTGTATGTCACTGTAAATTAATAACACATTGCTCCGTTGTTGAGTTGTTGAGTTGTTAGATGATGTATGCGGTATTGAACCATTCTCATTTTCATGCAATGAAACTGTTAGCAAATGCTCATCCAGCATCCTGTATCTGCTCATCTCAAGACTCCAATCCTGATCCGCGTTATGAATCTTGGTGGATTATCAGTTCTTAACATCATTTCCCTCAATTACGTTTGATGTAGAATTGGCAGATATTTGTTATTTAGTAATTCTCGAGTTTTTCTATGTCATTTTAGTGCATGTTTGGCATACAATGTTAGACAGTATTGAATAGTTTCAATAAATAAGATTCTAACTTTGTTTTCTTTCTTAATATAATACAACGAAGTAATTCTTTTGACGATCCATTAGTACAATTTCTATATCATATTACTTGGTTTATCTTAGTATTTCTCAAATGTAATACTATTTAGTTTTTCATTCTGATTGCTCCTGCTCGCCTTCCATCTTGTGTTGATACTTAAAGACGGTTCCAGCATCCTTGTCACCTCGACCACTGCAATTTACGACCACCTTAGTACCACTGGCTAATGTAGGGCAAAGTTTTTCCAGATATGCCAATGCATGAGCAGCCTCTAATGCCGGAAATATCCCTTCAAGTCGGCATAGCCGTGTATATGCTGCTCATTAGAGAAAGGACGACGCAGTTAGTTGCAGGGTATGATATTCAGTTTGTGTATACTTTTGAGCCAGAATGAGCTGAATGCTCCTGTTTATGTAACTATTTTCCACACAGTATGAAGTGCACTGTGTGAGAATTATATGGAAATGCATAGCTGTTTACCTTCCAGGGCTTCTTCATCGGTGATTGAGTAAAACTCAGCACGGCCAATGTCTTTGAGGAAACTCAGTTCTGGGCTAACCCCTGGATATTCCAGCCTGCATTTTTACCATTCAGCTATTTAGATTATCACGGGCATTTGATACGTGTATAATGATCAGTTCTTAAGGAAGATGCTCTATTGATAAGAGTCTTATTTGAACTGAATTAGCTCGTGATGTAGATGGAAATGTACGACTTACCCAACACCAATCGAGTGTGGTCCAATAATCTGGCCTTCATCATCTTGCAAAAGATAACTCATGGCCCCATGATAAACTCCCACCTCTCCCTTAGCCAAAGTTGCTGAATGTTTCCCACTATCTATTCCGTATCCAGCAGCTTCAACTCCAATTAATCTAACATCTTCATCTCTTATAAATTCATGAAATAATCCCAATGCATTTGATCCACTCCCTACACAGGCAACCAATACATCTGGCTTCCCACTCCATTTCTCCATTGCCTGTTTTCTTGTTTCTTTTCCGATCACGGTTTGGAATTCCCGAACCATGCTCGGGCAAGGGTGAGGCCCGACTGCAGTACCTGCCAAGTAATAGCTGCCCTGTAGATTTCCAACGCAGCTCCGTATTGCTTCTGAAGTCGCATCCTTAAAAGTTCCAGCAACAGATTTAACCTGGATTCATTGAGTTCATGTGCATATCTTAGGTATGTCACAAATCAAGTCTTAATCTCTTCTACAAAAAGGAAATCGGAAAAACGAGTCAAGTTTACGCGGATTATTATAGTAGTTCTCCCTCCCTTAAAATGTATAGCTTTTCACCGACGAATACAAGTTTTTTTCCTCGAATCTCTTTTGCATATCCAAATATTAGGTCGATATGTGGTAATAATGTGAATCGGAATATTATTAAAGTAAAAAGAAAGGGTAGGTTGTGAAAGGGAATTTGCTGGTAATACCTGAGCACCGGTATGTTCCATTAAAAGCACGTTGGATGATTGTCTCTGCATGTCTATGCTGCCCATGAATATTGTACAATCCAAGCCTAGCTTAGCACATGCGGCGGCCGTAGCAACCCCATGTTGGCCGGCGCCCGTGGCAGCGACAATGCTTTTTCGCCCCATGCGTTTGGCGAGCATTGCTTGAGCCATGGCATTGTTGATCTTGTGTGCTCCACCGTGAGTCAGATCTTCCCTCTTCAAGTAAATCTCCGGGCCTTCACCATTTTTATTCCTGTAATAATTTGTGAGCCTCTCCGCAAAGTATAGGGGAGTTTCTCGCCCCACATAGTCCTTTAGCGCTATTGAGAGTTCCTCCTGCAACAGTCCAATATGATAAACAAGAGTTTAGTTCTTAACTATTTATTGAAGTGTCGCCCATAAAAGCTTTAGTCAACATTGTTTTCAAACTCAGCTTGAACTTTGAATCATAAAAATAAGAAAAATGCTACTTATATATAATACGGGATGGACACACTTATATACGTGTAGCGTCATCCTAAAAATGAAGAGTCAAGTTCAAGGGTCAAAGAATTCAATTTGAAGTTGAGTTTTAACATCAATACGAAAGAAAAATTGTAACCGTAACCCAAAGGTAAGGTTCTATAATATCAAGGCCATTCGTACAAACCGAGTAGTTGATATCCCGATTTTTCAAGAAGTGTTCAAAACTCTCGAGTGGCCCGGACAATTTGAATTGTGGGGTCAAAAATAATTTTTTTTTCGAAGAACATATTGTTAACGAAAATAAGACCATATGTTACTACAATAGGATTTGGATTTGAACTTTTTAGACATTGGGTTAGGGAAATTAATTGTGCTGGCTCATTACTTTGACAGAAAATTATGTTTTAAGCAAGGAAAAAAATTAAAGAAGAAAATCCAAAAAACTGTGAGGTCATATGACCTTACATGATCCCATGTGGATCTGCCAGTGCTCCCGAAGGGGTAAGTTTAACTTTTATTGCACATTTAGTTGGAGGCCAGACGATGTCGCTTTCTAAGTCAATTTTTAATAAAACCATGCCACTTAGTGGTTTAGTTTGAAAAAAGAAAAACAAACCTGAAACTGAGGATCATGTAGAACCCAGTTGAATTCAACTTCAAGCTTCTTCAAACAAGTAATAAGTGTCTCCGGCACAAAAATTCCTCCAAACCTCCCAAACTTTCCTGAGTTGGCTAACGTTTTTTCACCTTGATCAATTAGTTCCAAAATTTCTGACGTTCTTGTCGGATTTCTCAAACCAAGTTCATCTGAATTCAGTGTATTATGACCTACAGCTGAGCACACTATCAAACCTCTATCAGTTCGTGACTGCAGAGAAAAACCTAGCATCTTCGACGAGTTTAATAATTTACAAGTTGGATATAAAGTTCTACCATGAACGGAAATAGTACTCTGCAGATTATTGCCAGCCATAAACTTAGACAGAGGAGATAAAGAGTGAGTTTGTGTAGATGGTTGTAGTTTCAGATGAATCACATCGTGGGTTACTTATTTATAGAGATAGGCAGAAGGAAATGCATGTGTCATGTTGTAGTCGATCCTTGCTTGTCATTGTACTATGGAAACGTGATCCACTTTAATGCAAGGATTATTAAAAACGTGAGCATTATGATCTATAACCTATTATTGTAGATTGGCAAGTACGTAACCTTTTTTAAAACATTCTCCACTTCATATTTCTGAGTAGGGCTGGATATAGTCGGTACCTTTAGAGTAGAATCGAACCTGAATTTTTGAATATTTAGTAAGTAAAATCATCGAATCTAAATTTAATTATGAAAACGTTCGGGTTCGATTTGGTTTCATTCAATTCCCGAGTTCCGTACAATAATTACTTAATTTTTTTATATTTAAAACAACGTTATATTAATTTAACTAATGATATATTCAATTTTAACTCTTATAAAATAATATAGTCCAATCCCATGATATGTTTTCACCTCTTTTTGTTGAGATTTTTTTTTATTTAAAGATTTGACTATTAAAATCATCAAAAGAGAAAGATAGCGAATTCACAATAATGAAGAGATATACAGTCGAACTTTCAATTCGATTTTTCCATAACGACAAAAGCGACATTATGGTAGAATAAGAGATTTGGGTAAAACTTAAATCAATTTGATTAAGTTGAGCTTGGGTTGAAAATTTTAAATAGGAAAATTATATTTTGGATCCGGACTAAATTAATTAGTTGGCAAATTTACTTAGAAAAAAGTAAAATAATTTGACTTATTTATGATAAAAAAATTTGGAAAATTTAGTTCTTCGTCTATAATCGAAAATCGAACCAAACCAGTCTGTTTTCAATTCAGATTCTCGTTCGAATATTTAATTTAAAAAGAACAGTTCAATTCAGCTTGAGTTCAATTCGAGAGTTTTGTCTAGCTTTATTTCGGACAAATTGTTGTATAATGTTAAGACTTGAGATCCATCTTAATAAGGTCAACCTTGTTAAGAGGAGTAGTCTAAGATATTTTAAGTTGGTCGATATTTCGGTATTTAATCGATGTGGGATTTCTATCGCTTAATATGGCCCAGCAAAATGGTGGCTCGTTTGAGCAGACCAATCTTGCAATCTGTATACTCATTTTTAGAGTCTTAAACAGATCAAATTACTCGTTAGAACTTAATGAGCTCTGATACCATGTTAAGATTTGGGGTCCATCTTAATAAAGTCAAACTTGTTAAAAGGAGTAGTCCAAAATCTTTTAAGTTGATTAATATTTCGATATTTAACCAATGTTTGATTTTTATCCTTAACAAAATGGAAATGATGTATTTGCTTTTTGATAAAGATTGAGAAAAAGGTCTTTGGTGAGGGACCATTGTACAGTTTTCCCATTCAAATTTGCCACAAATACAGGGGGAGGGGGCAGGGATTGGCGAAAGGGCCGAGGTGACATTTCCAATCCCCGCCCCTTTAGCATTTCCTTTTCCCATTACTCTGTGTCATTGTTACTTGTGAAGTGAGAATTGATTTAGAAAATAACGACAAGACAGGAATAGTTACAAATTGCTTCATATCCCAACATCCTTCAATTAAAACGTGAGTACGACGTTGAGATAAGTTAGGTATATAACCAAATTGGTGTGTTTTCAACTAAGAATTGCTGCGTATCAGCACAAGTTTTCTCATTGGTAGACAACGATGATAAACAGAGCTTCTTTCTTTTCTTTTTCTTTTTTTTTCCCTTTTTTTTTTAATTAAATTTTTATCTATTACATTGTATAGCGTTATCTAGTGTTGTCTCCCACCGCACGCCATTCAATGCAAAAATTCTATTTTATGAAGTTTTTAATTGCACAGAAAATGTTTAACGTTGTGGACATGTTTCTAGAAATTTTTATGATCTCTTATTCCAAATAAATTCATGAAAATTCATTTATATTTTCAGAAATACCTCGATTTTTGTTGTTAAGATAGGATAAGAGTAGAGGTGTCAATTTGGCTCGTTGGATTGGACAGGCCATGGCTCAGTCCGGAAAAAGTCCAATTCGGCATCGCTAGGGTCGAGCTCTATTTTATTTAGCTCGAGCCTAGATTTTTTTGGTCGAGTAAAAGCTCGGCTCGATTCGACTCGAGTCGAGTCAAAAAAGCCCAAACCATTTTTACTTGAATCGAACCCGAATTTTAAGTTTCGGCTTGCAAGCCGATTTAACTAGTTGACATCCCTAAATATGGATTTGAAAAATGGAAGATTTTATCTTCTATTTCTTATTCAAACGAAATATTGAGTGATATATATGTTTTGATATTTGAAGGGCTTAAAGTTTTCGAAAAACATAAAAATAATATCGAATCCATTGAGTGAAATTAATATTAATCGAGGTTTTCAATATTAGTTAGGCGAGAGTACGTTTGACTAAAAAACAAGTAAAGTGTTTAGGAGTTGTTCATAATCTATTAAATTTATATGGATGAAAATGAGAGATGGATAATTGATAGTATTTTTAGGCCCCTTGAAATAAGTGAATAAAAAATGATTCAATCGTTTATAAAAAAACTATACACATTAGCCAAACATGGAGTCTCCAACCACATTTGTGTAAATTATATATTTTTTTAAAAAAATTCAATTATAGTGTAAAAATACTTATTTTTAACTTTATCAATAAATAATATGTATTTTATAACGTTCTTTTTAATAAATTTACTTAAAATAAACTTCTAAGCTTAATATCAACTTGCATTTCGCGAGTTCATATATTATCCGTGAAGTGCCAAACACAACACATCATGTGAATTCGTTCAAAACGTGCCAAAAACCCATTGCCACACAAAGTTGGTAAAATCAGTGTCAACTTCTGTTTTTCCTATGTAGACAGGCTGGTTAATTACCTTAACGGTACCTCAACTTTACACAGAATTCTAATTTAGTAACAAAACATTCCATTGTTTCCATCCATGCCTAAATCTATTATCTTAGTGAGGTTGAACGTACTGCGAGAATTGTAGGAAAGTTCTCTATTATTTATTTTGAAAATGCTTTTTAATCTTTTGACTAGTCACCCTCATCAAAAAGTCTGCACCTTTTCAATACTACTCAGAGTCTGTAAGAAATGTTGGTCATTAATTTTATGACGGACTACCTTCAGTAACAAATTCTCATCGGAAATTTGTCTCTACTTTATTGAAAAGTGTCGGGTTTTGGCCACCAAAAATTGGCCATCATCGAACTTTTAGGGGTGCTTTTGCATCTCTTGACTATGCTGATTGGCACATCACAAAAGCATTTCTGGCACAACATGCATGTGAAGCACAAAGTGTGCCTCTAAAGCGTCACATGCACAATACACTAAGATATAAGGGTCTGGTTGATTGCAAATGTGGAAAAAATAAACCTATTCCATGTAAGTTGGATAAGAAAAAACCATCAAAACCATAGGAATTCGATTTTCACTCAATGGCCAAAAACATGCTTTAAGCGCTTGTACATTGAAATTCGAACTTTATTTTCACTTTCATATCAAATAGCCAAAGTAGAAAACGAATTACTCGAATGTAACGTTTTTCATGGAATTTAATGTTATCAAATGGAACCTAAGTGTTTACTTTTATAGTTCAAAAGGCATGTGAGTCCCTTGCATTTCTAAAGGCTAAGTGGGTCGGACTGTTGAAACTCTATCCAACAGTTGGACCAACCCAAATTACTGATTAGTCCGGGTCATGGGTTGGATCGCCTTTGTAGACAGGGTTTGTCGGGTTATATGTTGGATTAGCCTTTGGTTATATGTTAAACTTACTAAAACTCGAAAAAATTCATTCACTAACTCTTCCATGGTGTGTCGTAATTGATCGCTAATTTTGACATGACGACTTTTAAAGTGTTGCGAATTACATGCTTGATTCCTGAATCGTCCATATTACCAAAATCACATATAAAATTATTTAATAATAAAAGATTTATTTGTTTACAATAATCTTGTCATAGTGGTTATAGTTTGAGTTATAAAATGTGCTTCTCTTTTCATAGTTAAATCTTTCGCTCCGATTCATATTCCATTGATTCGCTTTTGTTTTACCTTAAATACCCAAAAGACTTCATATGGTATAACGAAACAAGAGGTTGTGGGTTTTGATAATTATCTAATAAATGGCAAAAGTGATTCTTGCACCCATTCACATGGAGACGGGACCTCTATAAATAGGATAGAAAAATCTTTGTTATCGACATGGACGTGCACATGAATATATTGACAAGGGATATGACATTCCAAATAGAGGTTTTTGACCAATACGAGCGTACTCCGTAGAGGACAATAAAGATACTGATAAAAACCCTACAAAGATTATGACGAGACGAAAGGTAACTCAAAACATAAAAAATGCTCATGAGATATAAAGTTGATCTTTTTTAACTTCTTCCGTTAGTTGGAGATTTTTTATTATCCACTGACAATTATATATATATAACTCAAAACATAAAAAATGCTCATGAGATATAAAGTTAATCTTTTTTAACTTCTTCCGTTAGTTGGAGATTTTTTATTATCCACTGACAATTATATATATATATATATAGAGAGAGAGAGAGAGAGAGAGAGAGAGAGAGAGAGAGAGAGAGAGTGAACCTTTTATATCTGAAAATCTCCTATAACAAAATATTTCTAAAGCTATGTATGATAGCTCAATTTTTCTATGGAAAATGAAAAATAAATTCCATTTTCCACTTTTGACTTGTTTGATAGCCAAAATTTTACCACCAATTCATTTTCCACCTTTGCCTCACACAAGCACCAATTCTTGGTTTTTGGGGAATTTATTTTCTCATTGGGTAGGTGGTTTTATGTTTTCCACCTTTTTTTTTTTTTTTTAATTTTTGGCAACAGGATCAAATTCTAGAAATAATTATAAAAGAAGATATCCCTTAAATTGATAATTTTCATGTAAAACAAAACCAAACGAATACTAAAATATAGATGATTTTTGGATTTATTTATTTTTTTGAGCAATAGAAACAAATTTTAAGAACAATTGTAGAAG